CTAATGTAGGTTTTCTTCAAATCCTCTCTTGGAATGAGGCGAGATGTAAACAAAGGAATGTTTCCTAGACTTGACTTACAAAGGTGAGAGAGGGGACCCAGGCAATTAGAGTTTCAACACTCACGGTGGAAAGCAGATTTCTTTGCATTAAGCTTTGTTATTTGTTAACCAGAAAGTTAGTTTCATCAGAATACCTGCTAACCCCATGGATAGCTGATGCTCCTTTGTGCCTCGTGTATCACAGTATATTCTGCCCTGCTTCTATTGGAGTGGTGGTTCTACTATTTGTCATTTATTTCCCTGTTTCCTTGCTGTGTGCTCTCAGTTTTTCAGTTGTGGAAAAGGGCAACCCTCCAGCTGGAACCAGTGACTGCATCATTCTTTGAACTTGAGAGGAGGGAATGAGCCCTTATTTGTTCCGCATCACGATGTCCAAAGCCCAGCTCTCAACAACTTATTCATTGAATTAATGATTGGGCCACATCACATCCAATTATTCAATAGTTTCCTATGTATTTGTTTGACATTTAGTCAGGCTCATTGCCTTAAACGTCTGTACACACACACACACACACACACACGTACTCCTCACCCCCCAGCATCTGCAACTGGGAGAACCCATAGTCTTCAGCTCCCAAAAATAGCCCAGAGATCACTGAACATATTGATCTGCACATAGATCCATCTGGAAGAAGGCAGATCAGAAGCAAGGGGGAGGGGTACAGACTTTCTAAATAGCTAGTCTACGGTTCTCACCTCAGCTTCTCTGCAGTGTGAGATGAGTGGGCTCTTAATTCAGCCACAACCAAAGGAGAGCATTTGTGCCATCACTGAAATGTGTGTCCTAAGTTGCCAACCCATGTCAATTAAGGAAAAGTGCCTTTTTGAAAATAAGCTAGCAATTAAGGTAAAAGTAGTCCTTTTTCGTAAAATAAAGCTAGTCTGATTTTTTTTTACTCCCCAATAAACTCAAGAATGTTTGGCTTTTGTTATTATTCTAGAGACTTGCAGTATGTCCCTTCATCATTTATAGTCAAGGGTCTCCAAGAGCCGGTTGACTCTTTCCCCCAGATCTCTGCATTTTTTTTTTTTTTTTTTTTTTTTTTTTTTTTGGTAGTAGGCTGGGGTTTAGAAGTCTCAGGCTCTCACAGGACTGTCGTCTTGGGAGGTCAGGCGCAGCCAGGGGTCTTTAACTCAGATAAAGGATGGGTTGATGGGGCTGGTCGCTTGCAGGTCAGCTCTGAAGCCCAATTTACAGTCAACTAATCACCAGTGGCTGAAGTTGAGGATCAGAAAGCAGCACAGCTGGCATATCCTGACCTGAGGATGGCTCTCACAACCGGAGAACTGCCCCAGTGCTGTGGATGATGCTTCCGTCCGTGGTCCTGAGAGTTTTGGTAATATGGTTCAAACTGAGTGATTTCGAAAGTTTAGAGTCAGACCAAAGGAAAAGAGAGAAGGGTTGTCAAAGTTGAGATTTAAAAGAGTGGGCTGTCTACAGTGCATATAAAAAAAAAGCAATTAAAAAAATCTAGATAGTGTGTTCTTTCCAAAGCACTTTGCCATTCTCAGAACCATTAACTTCTTTAGCTACCAATGCTTGCCAAACTTATTTAAAATGACTTCATTCATGTTAGCATAGCATCCATATGAAAGGAGTAACTTTATAGGACATATTTATAATTTGAGACTATCTTATTTAAGGAGGAATCATGCAATTATCTCTTTTGCCCCAGGGAAAAAATAGCTTCCCCCCCCTTGTCTGGTGATAATGAAAAATTATTTTACTTTAAAGAAAGACAATGAAGGTATACAGGAAATATATAAAGAGAGATGAAAAATTTTCCAGGAAAGAGCAAATATAATTATTAAAGGGATGAGGAGGCAGGGAAAGAAATCTGGAAACATACTAAAAGATTCACTCATTTTCCATCAAGAAAGATGAGAAATGATCAGACTTTGTTAAATAAATCAGACAGGGTTAAAGTGAATGCTCATATGTTTACCAAATCCTAGAGTATTAGGAAGACGTACTTTTCAAAAAAGAATGCGCTGTTTTTCATATTAGTACATGTTTGAGGGTCTCAGAACCCAAAAAAATGATCTTAGTAGCAAATATGATTTAAATGGGAGGTCAGAGGTGGCAAATACAGAGCACGTCTGCCACTATTTCCATTTCTGTACTCATGACGGACCTTATTAATTGATCAGGCTGCTGTTTCCAACTTAGCTAGATAGAGGCACTCTCCAAATTCTTTTCAGCACAGTATGACAAAGTCAATTAACTAGAGATGGCCCTTAAGCTGAAGCCCTTAAGCTACCTATGGTTTAGCCTTACTACTCAAAGTGTGAGCTCCAAACCATCAGCAGGGGCGTCACGTGGGAGCATATTCTGAAACCAGAATCTCGGCCCCATTCCAGACCTACCCCATCAGAATCTCTATTTTATTTTATTTTTTAACATCTTTTTTATTGAGTAATAGTCATTTTACAATGCTATGTCAAATTCCAGTGTAGAGCACAATTTTTCAGTTCTACATGAACATACATATATTCATTGTCACATTTTTTTTCGCTGTGCGCTACGACAAGATCTTGTATATATTTCCCTGTGCTATACAGTATAATCTAGTTTATCTATTCTACATTTTGAAATCCCAGTCTGTCCCTTCAGAATCTGTATTTTAGTAAGATCTCCAGTAATTCCTATGTATATTAAGTTTTAAGCAGCCCGGGAAGAGCAATGAATGCATGATATCTTCATTAGGGTGGAAGTTCTGAAACCTGTGTGCATCAGAATCACTGGGTTAAACCTTTGGTAAACCTAGATCACTTGGTCATCTCCAGAACTTTTGTTAGAAGAGCTGGGGTGGGGCTCATCAAACAAGTTCCCAGGTATTGCTGCTGCTGGTAGTGGACTGGGGACCATACTCAGAAAAACTGCATTAGGGCCATGGAAATACTTTGGAATGTCTCCATGACCTTTAAAGTTAAAGACTGCAGTATGTTTCCATAACTCTTGGTAGAACCAGAATTCTGGGTAGGGGAGAGTCCCAATGTTTTATACAGCATAACATCTCTTATGACCTTATGTACCTGGACCTAAAAGGCTCTCCCCCTGGAGAATTGCTGCTAGCATCATTCACTCATCAATTTGATAACAATCTGGGTACCTGTTCTTTCCACAGCATTATACTTAATGTTGAGAGAATCTAATGAAGGTTAAAAACGCAGTTCCAAACTTCAAGAGGCCTACTCTTTAAGATGAAAATAAACAGGAAACGATAAATAACAAGGTGGCATCAGATGGTAAAGGGCTGAGTGCTAACTAAGTGGCACAGACCACGTGTGCTTTAATTGCAGAAGGAGGAATACCTGAAATTAGACAGAAGACTGTGCATCTCAGCCTAACTAGAGTAGAAAGTCGCTACACAGAATGGGTGAAAGATAGGTGAGAGAGGGAGCAGGCCAGGGTAATAAGTCACCTACTCATTTCTTAATGCTGCTTTAAGAGATTGTTTTTAAAACTTTGAAGTTTCCTGCCATCTGGGTAATGAGAAATCAGTGCTATTGAAAGTCAGGCTATAGGCTGGGCATACTGTGAAAACCTGTATCTCAGAGACAGAGAACAGAGACAAACAGCTTATAGATAGAGATGGCTGGGGGTGGGGGGAGTAGGAGTAATTTAATAATAGGGATCATAATACCCAACTTCTACTGGTCTCTCTCATTGCCAGGGACCTGTGCTAAACGACTGTCATGAACTATCTCATTTATCCAAACAACAGCATATTATATATACGTAGTCGAACCCCCTCATTACTCCTAGTGAAAACCGAAGCTTTATAAGGATGTATGTAAAGTCAAAGAACTTGCCTGATTTAAATCCAGTAAGTTCTACAGGGTAGGGTCTCCTCATCTATGAATGGCGAGGGGTCTGACCTGCCTGTATCATTTTTTCCAATTGTCAGCCAGGAAGCCATAGAGCACCTGAGACAGGAGAGAAATCCTCGGGCGAATTAAAGTCGAGGAACCTGTGGGGCCAGTGCGTCCGAGGCGCGGACAGGGAGGGGCTCCTACATGAAACGCAGCAAGATTTAGCCTGAGCCAGCCTAGGTCGTGAAGCTTCTGCCGGCTTCCTCCGGCCACTCTAATTACAGAAGCTGTGGTAGGTTGCAAGGAGGAGGTGTCTTGGGGCGGGAGGCTTCCTCGGGTATTGTATTTGCCTATAAATACTTCAAATAGTTAAGTGAAATGTGCAGCCTTTGAAAGCTGGAGAGGAAGTTATTGGGAGGCCCCCCGGCCCGGCTGGAATAGCTGGCAGAATAGAGAAGAAATGGCTGGCGCGTCCTTAACGCGGGAGACGAGGAACAGCCCTGCCCAGACCAGATGGGGGGCCGCGGGGCTGCAGGCGCGACTCCGGAAGACTCAGACCGTTAAGGTGACCAGAACAATTTGAAAAAGAAAACAAACCTCCCCGAGCCGTGCCCGCGGGGGCCCAAGGCGGGCGTTTGCGTTCGAAAGGGCATTTTTCAAAAGGTTTCGGGGACGCGGGGGTGTCGGCCCGCCGGGAAGCGCGCGGCTGGAGCTCTGCTGCAGAGCGGCCACCAGCCGGCTTTGTACTTGCGGCCAAGCTCGGCCCCAGAGTTTCGGCGGCGGCCCGTGAGTTGAGGCCACTCCCCCTTTGCAGTGAGAGCCGCGGCCGCTGATTGGCCCACCGCGGACCAATGGGGGCGCCAGGGCGGCCCGGGCTGTCAGCGCGCGCCGCAGCCGCGCTGGTCG